GGAGCGGAAACAACTTCCTGCCGCGGGCACGCAAAGGCCTGTGGGAAATGTAGTCTCTGGCAGCCGCGGGCGCACAGAGGGGTCTGAGAGGCCGGGGGAGCGGAAACAACTTCCTGCCGCGGGCGCGCAAAGGCCTGTGGGAAATGTAGTCTCTGGCAGCCGCGGGTACACAGGGGGCTGAGAGGCCGGTGGAGCCGAAACGACTTCCTGCCGCGGGCGCGCAAAGGCCTGTGGGAAATGTAGTCTCTGGCATCCGCGGGCACACAGGGGGCTGAGAGGCCGGGGGAGCGGAAACAACTTCCGGCCGCGGGCGCGCAAAGGCCTTTGGGAAATGTAGTCTCTGGCAGCCGCGGGCACACAGGGGGGTCTGAGAGGCCGATATATAATGCTCGCCACAGGTCAGTAAACTGATTGGTTGTTAATCAATATTTAGGTAAATATAATAAATATAATGCTCGCCACAGGTCAGTAAACTGATTTGTTGTTAATAAATACTTAGGTGATGGGGTCTGGTGCCCTCTTCTGGCCTGCAGACATACACACAGACAGAATATTGTATACATAATAAATAAATATTAATTTACAAATTAGTTAAATATTAATTAAATATTAGTTAAAAAAGAAAATTAAAAATCTCTGTGCTCGCCTCTGTCCCAGGATCAGCTGACGCCGGAGCCGGGGGATTCGGACGAGCAGAGCGGCGCCCCAAATTTTGTAGAAGAAGAAGAGGAAGAAAAGAGGGAAAAATGGGAGGGACGCGGAGGAGGAGGAGGAGGAACGGTGGATGCTTTCGATGGCGGGGACCCAGATGACGCCGTTAAAGAGGTATGAGGAGGCTTATTATGTGCAGAGATCGCACGTTTCCTACGGGAGCGAAAATATGTATATTTTTAAGAAACTTAGTTTTATAGTTTTTTTCTTTAAAGAAAAGATCACCTGCCTCCTGTTTATTGTTTATTCTTTATCGTTCATAGGCAGAGGGAGTCGGCCTGACGCCAAGGGACCTGCGCGAGTACAACGAGAACCCTAAAGGTAGGGGCACGGCCGACTGTAAAATCACATTTTTATTCCATCCGCCTCCACGGATGTAGTCTCTGACAGCCACGTGATGGCCACGGACACAAAGGACTGTGGGAAATGTAGTCTCTGACGGCCACGGACGCACAGAGGACTGTGGGAAATGTAGTCCAAGACGCCCACTTCCTGCCACGGACACACAGGGCTGTGGGAAATGTAGTCTCTGACAGCCACACACACAGAGGACTGTGGGAAATGTAGTCTCTGACAGCCACGGACACACAGAGGACTGTGGGAAATGTAGTCT